CCATTTTACAAATCTAGACATTAAGGCTCATATTGGCTAAGAAATTTGCCTAAAAGCTAAGAATAACAAGAAATAGGATTTGTAACCCAAATCTGCTAGATTCTTCTAAATCTCCTCCTATACTTATAGTTTATCCCATATGACACACACTTTTACTCACCTTTTTCCTCTATACTAGACGAGGTTGCCTTCTACGCTTTGTATATTCCAAATCCCATAAATATTAACCTTTTTTTTCTTTCCATACTCAAGGCGGAGTGGAGTATTCTCAGCCCTAACTTCCCACCAGTGCTGCCTTAATTCAGACCCTCATCAAAACAATGATCCATCTAGGCACCTCTCCCTGTAAACCTATTTAAGAAATTTAGAACAGAAACAAAGTAACTGTTGGACAGCTACTGTTACCACCTGTATTCAGCATCTGACTTAAATCATTTTGTTCTAATAAAGGAAGACTTAGGTCCAAATACAAACTGCATCAGAAACTGAAGATTTTAACAACCTGACTGAGCAATGAGAAATGCTAAATGAACTCCTAAGGAATAAAAGAGTTAGCAATTATAATTAATAAGTATTCAGTAATCTGTACACTAGATGTTATAATAAAAATTATAGAAAATTACATAGACATAAGGTCTAATCTCCTAGAATTATATACAGGGTGAGAAAACAAACCAAAAAAACCAACAAAAGAATATAAGCAAGTTAAGACAAGTACTGAGGAATCAAAAGAAATGATGGTTAATAAAAATGGCTTCTTAAGCACCACTAACTCTTGAAACAAACCAGGTGAGCATGGCAGAAACAAGTAGCAGTCAACTTTACTAACCTCAACCCATCTGGACCAAAAGATGGTTACAGAGAGCTAGTATGATATTTTATTTTTCCCAATCCTTATTTCTTTTTCAGGACTATTAAACTTCACTTGGCAAGAGAGCATATACTCTATAGAAAGTAAGTTAAATCATGATACAACAGAACTAACTACAAAATAAGACCTGATAATCTTTTTTTTTTAAGATTTTTATTTATTTATTGGAGAAAGAGACAGAGATAGCGAGAGAGCACAAATGGGGAGGAGAGGGAGAAGCAGGTCCCCTGCTGAGGAGGGAGCCTGAGGCAGGGCTCCATCCTAGGACCTGAGCAGAAGGCAGATGCTTAACCCACTGAGCCACCCAGGCACCCCGGGACCTGATTATCTTTTTTAACTCTTCTTAATTATTCTAAGAAAATACTACCAGCTAATGAACTGCATCAGAACTATTCTTTTAAGCATATAACATATACTGATTTATTATATATAACTTTAAATGAAACCTCATCTTTCACAAAATCTATTTAAAACTGTGGCAAAATAGATTTAAGATTCACCTCTTCCATGAAACCAATCACCAACCTGTAGTCTAATATAAGGCATATTTCCATTTAGTAAAGTATGTAGGTTTCTGCATACTTTTTCTGCTGGTGGTTATACCTGTCTTTAACCTAATTCTCTTCCCTCACCCACTAAATCTAAAGGGGATGAAATCCTACTAAAGACTTTTTAATTGTCCTGGAATTCCCACCAGCAGTGCCTTAATTTAGGCCCTCATATCTTATGTGCACTACTGTTAAACACCTACCTGATCTCCTTTGTCTCCATTCTTACAACCCTCAATCCACTTCCTACAGTGCCTTCACCTTTCTCCCCAACTTTCTAAAAGTCATACCTGATCTTGTGCACTAACTAGTGCAATACTTCCTCAACTGTATCTCTCTCTTACATCTATGAAATACACACTGATATCTTAACAGGTTAGAGACTGTACTAAAAAAAAAAAACACAAAAAAACAAAACAAACCCCCCCCAAAATCCCTTTGTTTTAACTTAACCTTAACTCACAAAATATACACCCAAGATTGAAGGGAAACATATAAACATTTCAAATATGTTTCAAGATTACCCTATCAGAAAACAGTAAACTTCATAAGCTTGCTAAAAATAGAAATGCCCAAGTTCCCCCTCAGACCCAGTGAATATTATCTAGGAATTCGGGTTAGCAATATTTGTAATCTCCACAATGTTTTTAATGCATACCTAAATTTGAGAACCCAAGCAGAAAACCCTCCTTGCTCCATAACAAACTACTAGTAGGCCCCCACCTTTCCAAGCTGTTTCATTCCTCTCATCAACCTGGGAGCATACTAATCTTAGATATTCAGGTATCACCCATCCTAAATTATTTTAACACCTCTTTTAATCTCCTAAACTTTTGCAAAAAATAATAATATCTATATATTTACATATGGTCCTTCTAATCCACAAAATCATCCCATAAGACAGTATCCCTATTTTAGAACTGAGAAAACCAATTCTACCACAGGAAGTTAAAAAAAAGAGAAAACAAGAACAAAACTTGTCCTAAGTGACCAAATGAGTTTGAACTCTGGTGTGCTGACTACAAAGCCAAGACATTTTCCATTGTGACATGCAGCATCTTACACATCACTCTGAAGTACTGACTTACTCATCAGTTTACTTATTTGTTTCCCTTCTGAGACATAGTAAAGCTCCTTGAGGGCAGGCACCAACCCTGATTTTGACCTCAACATTTAGTTACTCCATATATATTTGTTGAGTCAAAGAAGGAATGCAGCTCATCCAGAACTGGGACTATAAGTACTTCTGTTTCATTCCTTGAACTCTTAGGTAGGGCTCTGAATACACTTCTTCCCTAACAAATTTGGTCTGACTTGTAAATGTTATTGCTGATTTTTTTAATGAGATAATGTATTTCACTATTATTTTAAACTACAAAAAGCTGCATAGTCAGCAAAGAAGAAAAAAGGAGTGTTCAAAAAAATTAAAATATTCTTATTTTACTCTCAAGTAACTGGAGACTTCAAATATTAAGGTTAATCTTCACAATAATTTCATACCATAAGAATGTGGTTTTAAATGACATATTCAAAAGGTAAAGGTGATTAATAATAGATGACATAAAGATATAGAGCACTGAATACTCATAGCTTATTCAGCAATCCACTTACGCTAACCAGAAAGCAAGGCTATCTTTCTCAATCACAGTATTCTTTCACATCTTTCATTTTTTTGAAACCAGTAAACATTACAGGTAAGCATAGAGAAATTAGTCAGTGTACTCGTGTTTAAATGTAATGTCCTTCCTCCCTAAAGTTAATGTGTCTGGTATGTAAAATATAATACAACCACTTCCTTTCTGACATAAACTATATAGCAAATGAAAACAAACCAGTGAAATTTTAGTTTTTTTTTCATTTGCAGATAATGTAACATTTAAAGAGCTGGAGATTTTCCTAAATTGAAAATATGAAAAAATTAGTGCTGCTTTAAGAATCTCACACTCTAATGATATCAAAAAGAAGTGATTAACATCAAAAACTAGTAATGTAATGTATGGTGATTAACATAACAATAAAAAATCTTTAAAAAGTGATTATTCCTTTTGCACCACTTTTTGAAATAAGTCAATAACAAGTAATAAAAACCCTTCTAAAACAACATAATGTAGTGAAAGTACAACAGACTAGGCATCAGGAGTCCTGGTTTTCTAGTTCTGATTACATCACTAAATTGCTGTGTGACTTAGGGTTCACTGCTCAGTTTTCTGTTTGTTTAAAAGCGGTGGGGGTGGGGAGGGGACCTGATTATCTTTAAAGTTGTTTCCCAAAATATTGGTTTTAAGCCAGTCCTCTTATTTCATTCTTCTAATCAGTAAAATATGAAACTCATCTGAATTAAATGCAATGATTCAATCTCCAAGAGGATACAAAAGGTTGACTCCTATAAAGTTAACAATTAACCCATTGGGTAACTTTCCAGAAATTGTCTAATCCTACCTTCTTAAACAAGCAGATGTAGCCTAGTTTGACATATTTAACACTACTAAGAAAAGTTGTAAAATGGTACTGCTCTGTTGACATTTCAGTAGGGGTTTCCTGGGTTCCCATGACACATACTGTGCAGGTGCTACCACGCAAGGAGGAGAGAAAGAGACCCAAACAGCGTTTCAACAGACTCAACCACAGTTCAACCCAGCTACTGCAGTAAGATGCAGCCTGACAAGGCCTACACCACAGAGCAGAACCTCCCCACCCCCAGAAGTGCCAGCAGCCAATGTAATGAATGCTTCCGTCAACAACACACATTCCCCTTCCCACAGCAAACTGCTTGCTCCCAACCGGCCATCTGGGGTTGGAACAGGCCGCACAGCACTAACCTAAGAATCACTCTCAGGCCCCCAAAGGCCAAGAACTACTACAGACTGCGGTTCCCCTGCGCATGGTTGTGGGGAGAGCAGCACCTCCTCCCACCAATTAAAAAAAAAAAAAAATCAGTGAGGAGGAGAGCAGAAACCAGGCCTGGAAGAGATTGCTGGAGAAATAAACGCTGTTTCTCTGCAATGGGGAGCAGTAGCATTTCCTGCCCTCATTCTGAACCGATGCACTCGACTTCATTCCCTCCTGGGATCCTAAAGGGGGATCAAAAACCCCATTCTGGTCCTCTTCATTCATATCTCGGCTTCATTCCCCGACCTATCCACTCCTGAAACCTCTGCCATTGTCAAAGAAGGTACCCCCCCCCCCCGGATCAAACAGCAGGAGGTGAAGCGAGGGCCAGTACAGAGGCCCGGTTTTTAAGATAGAGCAGCTCGTGCATGAATAAAATCCCCTTGTGGCCTGAGAGCAAAGTTTGAACCAGCAGCTAGGGCGCAGACCCGGGCCCGGCCAGGCAGGGTTCCAGGACAGGGCTGCGGAGGTGACACTTCCCTGCTCACGGGCAGCTTCGGAAGGCGGTGTCCGCCCGCCCCGGCCCAGCCCGCACTGCCCGTACCCAGGGAGCCGGGCTGGCTGGAGGCCCGGCCGGCAGCCGAACCCTCCCCGCGCCGCTCCTGCCTTCTTCCCCACTCCCACTTCCCAGCCCTCAAGCCCGAGCCTGTGAGGTAACGTCGGGGACGACGACGCGGGTCTCGGCCACTGACCACACATTTCTTGCCGAGGAAGGTGAAGAGAGACTCATTCTCCTGCGGGGTGAGCAGCAAGGACCCCACATTGGTGACCCTCCGCGGTGGCGGCGGCTGCTGCTGGCCGGAGCTCATGGTTCGCCGGCGGAGTTGCCAGTCCAGGGCCGTCTCCGGCGAGTAGGCGAGCGCTCTTTCCCCTCTCGGTGACAGGGGTGGGAGGAGGGGAATCAGAGGCGCAGCATCTCGCAGCTCCTCGGGCGCGGGGAGGAGGAGGCCACGGGAAGGAGGAGCCAACGACGGGCCGCGCAGAGAAAGGGAAGCTCCCTGCTCCCGCCCGGTTAGTCTCTGGCCGGATGGTCGTTGTCTTCGTACTCCGGCGACTGCGCTAAACTCCCAACTCCTCCTCCAACCCTCCTTCCGCGGCGGCGGCGGCGGCGGCGGTGGCGGCCGCACAATCCAACATGGCAGCGGGGGCGGACGAGACCACAGGACGCAGGACGCGGGGGAGCGCGCCGGAAACGCGCGGCTGCGGCCCGGGCCCCGGAGGAGCCCCCCCGACCCCACGCCGCGGCCGGCCTCGCCGCGCCGGCCCGAGGCCCCGCCCTCTTCCGGCCGGGCGCGGGCTGCGAGGTGGGACGCGGGTTGGTGATCACGCGTGCGGGCCCCGGCCTCTAGCCTCGTTTCTGCGGTGTTTGGGCCCGGCGGCAGCCGCCTGCAGAGAACGGGAGCCGCCCGCCCCTGTTCTGCGGACGCACACCTTTGCGAAGCGTCAGTGAAGACCCAGGTCTCCCCTCCCCAGAATAGTTCTTATTTCTGGGGCACGGAAGCCGGACGTTCACATTGCAGGTCAAAAACATCTGGGATCTGGAGACAGAAAAGTGGAAAGAAGTGACGCGCTTCCCTGTGCCCCTCGCCGGTTTCGGTCAGAGCCGCAGGTGCCTGGGGTTTCTCAAACTTTGTCCAAACTTCAACAGTGGGAGTGGAGGAACAAACAGGCCTCTCCCAGTGTTGTGAAAGAGAGATCTTGCTGATGGATGTTAACAAAAACCAAACGCACTTAAAAAAAATTTCTACTGTTCGCCTGGAGTGTTGCGTGGGATAAATGTATTTGGAACATTTAAATTGAAGCTCTTTTCTTTGACGTGCCTTGAACACATTTTTCCCCGTCTTGTGGATTGGAAAATAACCCCCCCATTTTTTCTTTCTCTCAAACCCCAAAGACCCTGTTTTCTTTTTATCCGGAACGAATGCGCCCATTCGGGGATGTCACACAGGAAAATACGTAGTCTGATTTAATCCTCAGAAGTAAATCTCAAGAATTTTTGTTAAAATTTGTATGCCTCAGAATATTTGAAGTTACTTAGGATAATGCCCTTTGTTCAGTAAATTAAATACTAAAATATTGTTAAACGAAGTTTTGCACTTACCGAAATGTAAAGAATAACCTCTGCAGCAATAAGTATCTGACTTCTCCACTTTAAACATCATTTATTGTATAATCTTCGCCATTATGTTTGCTAATTATTCAATTTCAATAAACAAAGAAGTTGCCATATATTAAACTTGACATCCATGTTACGCCAGATGAAATTTGGTAAAACTATTTGATTTTAACATCTTTGATAGCTTCCAATACAAGTCTCCTATGTTCTAAAGAAATTGATAAGCCATTATCAATGAACCTTGAAAATACTATAAAAATTCAAAATTAAAGGTGCCCTTATGAAACTAGCTAAGTAGGAATAAATCTAGAAAGGAAAATGAGATATGTAGTCCCGGGAGTTCTCTTATAAAATACGGATATCTCAAAATTAAACTTGATTAGTAATGTTGGGGGGAAAGGGATTCAAGAAAAGCAAGCTGACTTTTTATAAAATAATTAGGTTTAGAAAGGCAGTAGAAATGTAAACCTGGAGTTGCCTCTGAATTACGAAGCTAACAAACAGACACTAAATCAGTTTGTCTCTTACATCAAAAGTGAGGTTCCTTTAAATGAAAACCACAGTGACAGCAGAAAGCAGTACAAATTCTTGAGAAATACTGGAAATCAGAGTCCTAATAATTGTCAAACCTGTGAACCACAGTGATAACAAATACACACTTTAGATAGGCCTATGTGGAGTTCTTGTTCTGCCATGTATATGTGTATAACCTTATGGACCTTGGACGAGTTGCCTCTCTGAGTCTGTTTCCTCATCTGTAAAACGAAAATAATTTCTATTTAATAAAGGTGTGGTATAGAGATAATTAAACCTACTTCAAAGTTGTAAAATTTACCAAGAAAGCATATGTGAAATAACCCGATACATAGTGGTTACTCAAATATTACTTGTTCACCATTGACCATCTTTGCCTATGGTCTCCTTGTCTTCCCTTTGTCTAAGGTCAGCTTCCCTTCCCTTAGCTAAGGATCAAAAGTTGGGTTGAAATGTGTATTTTTACCTTTGTGCTATCTGTGATATTTCAAAAACTTGCATTTAGAACTCTATGTACTTCTCCAAATATATAGTGGTGAATTTGGGGCATCATTTCTTTTTTAGCAGAATTTCTACTAAGGCTATATGTTATGCCACATGGACTATATATGTCCCACTATGCCAAAATTACAAACCTTTTAAAAACTATTAATCTAGAGACAGAATCATATTTGTTTCTAATACTATCTTTTTAATATTAAATAATATTTTATGATATATTTTCTAATATTATTTGTTAAGAAAAACTGAAAGGGAGCAATTTTTATGCTAGAAGGCCAGCTTTTAAAAGCTTATAGACCACCCAGCTATTTTGAAGATGGGAGAGAGAGACGTGGAAGAGGGCTAGGGGGAAAAAGCAGGCAGCATGGAAAGCTAGTTGAAAGGACATCAGCTATGAGTTAACTACTGGGTTCCAATCATTTCACGACCTCTTGTTAGCCTAGACTATGTATTGTTTTAATTGCTTTTTTTTTCTTTCAGGAAATATTAAATGTCTTATCTATTTCTAGGTGCAATTTTCTGACTATTTGCCCCTGTTCTTTTTTGTTTAGAAATGATGATGGAAAATTATAACCACCATAGACTTTTTTTTTTTCCTCAAGCCCAAATCATTTCTTTAACTTCGGCTCAAGATTTGAAATATGGTTATTTTGTCCACAAAATCGCAATCTAAGTTCTTATTTTCTACCCCTTCTTTGTTATTTTTGCTTTTCTTTGGCCTTTTTCCAACTCCCTATTCATAAAATGTGGAAAATATTACTGTGAACGTTACATTGGAAATATGACTTCCTTACTCTTATGAGCATGTGAACAAGCAATATTTGGGGTTTTCCCTTCCTAGGGTGCACACAAGGATTTTATTTTTCCATGCTCATCCTGAGACCCAGCAGTAGCAGCTTGATTTGTTTCAAAGTTTTAGCAAGTCTCTTATTCTTGATAGTGTATCCTCTATTTGGCAGAACACAAGACATCTTTCTCTCTGTTTTCTTTGGCAAGTGATTTTCTTATCTCAAATTCTTTTTACCCAGTTTGAGAGATTGGATTTGGTCCAGGAAATAAGAAGGATTCTATTTCCTTTCCACTAAGTATCTTGAAGTTTATAAGCCAGGTTAAGAAGACTGTAAGGATTTTATCTTCATATGGGTATAAAATGCATATGCTGTATTAAAATGTCTGAATATAAGAATAAGGCAATTCTTAAATTTAATTTCTTCCATTTGACTTTCCTTGACTCAGTTAGAATGTATTCTAACTACTTTTATTTTCTTCTTTCTTCACTATGATTCTTTAAGGTAAAGTCTTTACCTTAACAGAAAACATTAGGGTAGCTTATTTATGGAAATGAGAGCATAATTTCAGATGGATTACCTGCCATTATCATTATACTTTGCAAATTTCTCCTTTGTTAATCCACTTTTCTTCTTCACAAATATAATTGTTTATATACTATTGCAAGTCCTTTGAAACACCCTGTTCTCCTTGCTAATGTTAATAATTCAAACTGTAGTGACACCTACCATTGTAGAGGAATGTGGAGGTAGCCGCACGTGAGATCAATTGCATTCAGCAGCCATTGTAGCCTTAATTACCAGTACTGACTAGCTGCTTCACTTGGCAGAACTGAGTTACAGAGAGAACATCGAACCTGGATACTGCAGGGGTGATGAATGTGACTTCTACCATGCAACCTCCAAGTGCCTTGAGTTTAAAATGTGCACATTGTAAAATGTCTCTGTGCATGTTTATGTAAATGTTGCCTGTAGCAATGTTTGAGAGAATTTATCCTAGTATTTTCTCTCATTAAATACTGAATGTTTTGTTTTTCATCAACTAAAATCTTAATGAGCTAGCAAACTATTTTCCCTTCCCTCTTCCTTTTATCTTTATTTTTTATTTTTTTAGAGAGGGAGAGAGGGGGAGGGGCAGAGGAAAAGAGAGAATGTTAAGCAGGCTCCACACCCAGCTCACAGCGCGCAACACGGGGTTCAATCTCACAACCCTGAGATCATGGTCTGAGTCAAAATCAAGAGTCAGATGCTAGCCAACTGAGCCACCCGGGCGCCCTTTCCTCTTCCTTTTAAATTTATTTTGAGTATAAGCCTATCTGGGGCTTACTTTTTAAGAAATAGATAGCTTATTTACAATTCGTTCTAATTTCTTACTGATGTTAGTAGAAAATTGAATTCTTATTCACGCTATGAATTACAGTGATAGTCACTACCTCTATATGGCATAATCTCCAGATACCTAATACATACCTTTATTGAAGAAATTATTTAAACATCTAAGTATGTTATAGTTCCCAGGGTGCTGCTTACTGTTTTTTTCCGCTGTTGCTCTTTAATGTTAATGAATATTCAACGGTTCTCAGTTTAATTATTTGAGGTGAAAGGGGGAGAAACATTGGCTCCTCTATTATAATGTGCTTGATGTCAGTCTACCTTGATTGAATTGGTAGGCATCTTGGATACACGTGATGATTTGAAGATGCCATGTATCCCCATTACCTCACTAAAAGTATCAGGGTGAAGGATATGGTCTTCTCTATCATCCAATGTGTTGTTGTTGTTATACTGATCACGTTTATTTGATTTTCTATTTCAATAATTTTTGTGTTTTTATTGCTCTTTTCTACTTCGGGCTTAGTAATTCGTAGTT